CCCCAAAACCCCCAAAACCCCAAAACCCCAAAACCCCAAAACCCCAAAACCCCTTATCTAAATCCAAATGTTTAAACTTTTTTACAAACTTAAAATATCTATCATGATCTTCTCTCTCCTTAACGGCTAGCTCATATTTCTTACTCAATTCCTACATTTAAACCTGATCCTTAGCCTTCTTCCTCATTAGCCACTCATGAAGAAGACATAAACAGTCATCTCCAAGCTACATCATGGGGTTAGCATCCAGAATGTCAGTACGAGTAAGAGCATGATTGATTTACTAATCGTCCTTGGTTTTATAGTACCTTCCATTTACCCCACTGGCCACTCTTCTCTATACCCAAATCCTTGTTGCTAGACTCATCTTCCCCTTACAGTTTGGCCGACTTCACTAATTATTTTTTGCTTTTCTTGTGGCTTGTTCTTGCTAGTACTTTCTATTAAGCTGAATCCAACTTCTTGCTCTCAGATGCCTTATAGATACTGATAACTAGACTAGAGACTGGCTACTTTCTGAACGGACTCGTAGTATATTTTAAGGAGGATCAACAGCAGGGTTCAGCCTGGCTGAGCCGAGGAGAGAAAAGCCGAAGGCAATATATTTTCTTCATCTTGTTATCCTTTCCTTTTTCTTGGTTGCTTGTTCACCTTCGTATTTCTTGTGAGGCTCGCTCTAAATCAAATTTGACTGCAAGCTCCTTTGAGCTTCACAAATCCTGTTTCAAGTTTTCCCATCAAAATCTTTCGTAAATCTAAAAGAGCACCTCTTTGGTTAGCTTAGTTTCATGAATCTTAGTTTTTAGTAGTTTTTTTTGGCTTCTCTCCACTTCTTTGCTGTCAGCTATGTCTATTAGTTTGTCTTTACAGAGGAAGACAGCTAGAGCAGTGGTGACTCTAATGGGGAGTTCCAGGAATAGAAGGAAGGCCCATCAGAAGAACCCTTTGCATCCATTGTCCTTAGATTTAGGGGGGTTCTACCTCCTCTACAGGTTACTTTTGAGAGAAAAGTGTAGGAGTAACTGGTAGTTGAGTTGGTCTGATTAGCCTTGGTTTTGCATGATTCTTCAAAGTCTCCTGTTGCTAAATAGCAGAGGCCTTCTAGGAGCAGTCATCATTTTGGAATCTATTGCACATTTATCTTTCTTTACTTGACCAGAAAGGAGATGTCTGATCATTGGTACATTAATCCATATCCAGGAACGATGTAAACCTATTAGAGGGTGCATTGTTCACATGGTACATTGGCTGGGAACAAAACTGTTTTTATCTTAGGAGCTCTTTTTCGGATCTTCACAATTGTAAACACCTGTGCAAGAGTTGAAGCCATTTTCTTTAACCTTCAAGAACTTATAAAATGACTTATCATCTGGATGTTCGTTTGAAAGTCTTATTTCTCAATGTTCTCAAGGAATAAGATCTTAGATGATCTATTACACATGAGCTTTAGAACCAGTCCGAGAAATTTACTTAATTTTGCCTTGAAAGTCTCCTTTACATGGAAGAATATCAACACAAGATTTAACTGCATCTCTTCTAGCGTAGGACTCGACAAAGTATGCTTTCAGAGTAGCATCATTTACCTCTTCCTATATTTAATAATTCTTGAACTAATCTTTATACAATATATTTGAAGTATCGAGGGGTTTTGGGGTTTTGGGGTTTTGGGGTTTTGGGG